ACAAAGTTGTGCGGGATACCATTGGTATGATGTTGCCACGACGGACGTTTGGGGAACGATGGAGAGCAGATTTGTCAGTAGATAATGTGATTGTACATTTTTTCATAGCACTGTTTGAATTCCCTCCCTCGCGTTTCCTCCGTCGTCCCTCCCGTCGCTCGTCCCTCCCCCTCCCTCCCTCGGCCTCGCCTCTCGTCCTCGCTTGTCGTGCGTCCCTCTCTCCTTTTGTGCGTCCTTCCCCTGCCATGCAGCATCGCGCGTTCATGCCACCGCCAACCGGTGCTGAGCCCGCGGCCACGCTCGTTTCACACAATGGCGCCATGGCGCCCGCCTGCAGCGCCCCCGCCGGCGTGCACCTTGCAGGTCCGAGTCCGAGTCCGAGTCCGAGTCCGAGTCCGAGTGGAAGGGCCAGCGACGCGCGGATGTGTGGAGTTTGGCCCACAACCTAGCAGGGCGCTGCAGTGGGCCGAGGCGGCGTCGCTACAACCTCGCGGAGACGTTCGTGCCGAGGGCGTCGGAGGCGTGCGAGCATTTCAGCGGGCCTGGACACGCAGGCGGGTTCTCAGCGGTGCCCGTCGACTACGATGAGTACCAGCAGGAGCTTCTGATGGGCCTGCCGCGGCCAGCGTCCATGGGCAGTGGCAACTACTTGCATGCGGAGCAGGCTCGGGGTCGCTCCGCGCCGACGGAGGTGCTGATGGCGGTGCTGGATCCGAACAGGCGCTTCGATGGCAGCTACAGGCAGCCTCGACTCCGTGATAATAAGGAGCGGGAAGGCGATGGTGAGGCTCCTGCGCGCCCCCGACCGCGCCCGCAGTTCGCCCCCTGCGTGCGACTGGGCGGCGATCGTCGGGGTTAGGGCGCGGAGCAGCAGCTCGAGGCCATTGACAATGAGTACAGCTTCAAGGCGCTGCAGAAGGTCTTCGCACGCATTCGGCGAGCACAGCGGGCTCCAGTGGTGTGGCATCGCAGCAAGGCGACGGGCCTGGACAAGCACAATCACAAGACGGGCTTCTCGGCTTGGCGTTGCATGCGCGGGCTGTGCAGGATGGGTGCGCTCTGGTTCAAGGCGCAGCTGAGACGTGGCCCCGAAGATATGGTCCCAGATCGCGAGCGCGGCTACCCGACCAGCCGCAGTCGCGAAGGGGCCCTCCTCTGCCAGGAGGCGCTGGCAGGGCGGCTGCGCCAGGCAGGTGTCTCGACAGTCGCGGCGAAGGAGGGCGTTGCGAACGAATTTGGCTGCGCGGCTTTCTCGTCGTTGCGTGCCGCGGTGGGAAGTTCTATTCGTGCGGATGCTCAGCGTTACTTTCACCGGCGCCACGAGAACAGCGCATTCACCGTGGTGGCGGCGGACGAAGAGCAGACGTTGCGCAACCTCTGCGGAGCCTCCATGGGAGACGCCCGCGGCGGTCTTTTTCGCCGGGTCCTTTCGGGGGCTCATGCAGCAATGACTTGATCAACTTCGAGGAGAGACGTGGGGTGGCTTCGCCCCCCCGAGGCCCATGACGTATGATGACGGCTTGCACAGGAGCTGGTGCCTGCGGCTCCTCCTGGAGCTTTCCACGAGGTGATGTGGCCGAGCGAGGCGCTGTGTACGGCATGGGCGCGTCCAGTGGATCTTTCTTGTTGTATCTACGCGGGCGACGCGAGCAGGGCGCGCATCGTGGGCAGCGCGCCGAATGCTCGGCGGACGCTGGAGCGAGCGCAGCCACTTTCGCGCGGCGTTGGCCGCGGATGGGTACGCGCACAATGAGAGCAAACGCTGCGTTTCCCCTTCCTTCGCGGGGCCTGGAGCACGCGCCAATACCGCCGCTGCGTCTTGGGGCTCGACGCGGCTCCCTGAGCAGGTTCAGTTCGACGGCGTGGCGTTCAGACGGCCATCAATGGCGCGATCCAGGGTGAGCTGCGTGGGAGGATCGCTTCTGGTCGAAGAACAGGCTGTGGCGTTTGACTCCGACGGTCTTCGGAGCGGTTGTCCAGGGCGCGCTGCTCCCTGGTCTGGGGGCGCTGCTGCTTACGGAGGCGCAGGGGGGAAAGCTGGAGAGGGGCCTGGTCGGTTTCGCGAGGAAGCTATTGGGCGGCACGGCCTGTCAAAAAACCGTGGTCCAGGATCCCGAGGGCAATCCAGTCGTGGACGATCGAGGCCAGCCTGTGCTGCGCCACCGAGCTATGTGCGACGGGGTGGTGCTTCGCCGAGTGGGCGTCGCTCCTACTGGCGTTGCGCTCCGAGTTAGCAGGCTTCGCCAATGCCGTCGCTGGATTGTGGATCCGAATGTTCACCCACAGGAGATGGGATTGCTTTCCGGACACCCGCTGGACACCGCCCCGGCGATCGCAGAGGCGGGGTGCCTCTCGGCCTCCGCCAACCCGCGCGCGGTCCGTTTCGCTCGGGACGTCTGGGCCCTGGTGCGTCGCTCGGAGTCTGAGCTCCTGGAGGCCTGGCTGGTCTCGGGCGCGTCTACCGACCCCGACATGAGGCTCGACATCAGGGCGCTCTTCATGGGCCCCGACTTGAGAGCTCAGTGCATCGCCCTGGACCCAGGTGTTCTGAGTGAGGGACGAGGCGAAGACGGTAGCAATGCCTCCTCCTGCTGGACTGCATGGCCCTGGTTCTGAAGTCCCAGATGGTGCTCCTGAGGCCCCCCCCGTCCTCCTGAGGCGCTTTGGCAATGCGAGTTCGAGGTCGCGATGGCGACGTCTGCGGGGAGGTCTTCGGCTCTAGGAGGGCGCTCTTGGCGCGCCAGAGGTTTTCAAAAAATCATGGTGGGCACGCATGCAGATCCGTCATCCGCGCCATCATAGTAACGAATGAGTGCATTTTCTGTGGGCTCGGGTTTCGTGCACGTCGTACTACACGGGAACGTGCCGTTACAGCAGTGATGAGTTGACGATGCCCACCGAACTCCACACCATGCCACCATGCCATCGAAGAACCCGGTAGCCTCCAATGCCTTATGGCCGACATCCCTGCGAGGTCCATCTTCGGGTATAACCAATCTGGGTACTGCTGTGTGCGTGCGGGGCCGTTTCGGGATCGAGCTGGGCTGACTCGACACCTCCGCAGCCCCGCCCCGCGAGAGCCTCTTGTCTGTGCTACTGCCTCCGCGGGTGATGCGCCGCTTGAGCGAGGAGGCGCTCGAGGCCGCGGCAGGCCGGTCGAGGTCCAAGGGGCGGGGGGCAGCAGGCTCGCGGAGGGGCCGCTCTGGGTCGGCCTACGCTTCCCGACAGCGCGGTGGAGGGCGACGCGCAGGAGATCGCAGCGGACAGCGGCGGCCCCCGTCGCAGGCGGCCCCAGGCGCAGGAGGCGCTCCCGCCCAGAGAGGACACCGAACATTGAAGCGAGAGGCTCAACCACAGGCCGTGGGTCGCTCATGCGGCCTCCCGCCAGATGCGATCGACGAGCTGCCCTCGATGGATGCCAGCGCGATGGCGAAGGTCATGCCGATCATGGTGAGGGCGGTGCTGGGCAACTCGTACCATACTCGGATGCTGATGGCCGCAGAGTTCGCGACGATCACGCTGCCCGGGGAGCTCCCCATTGCGGTGGCGGCCTTCCACGCAGGCAAAGCGCACGCCGAACAGGCGGCCGCGCTTCGGGGCGAGAGTCATCAAGACCCGTCGAAGCCGACGCCAGAGGCTCAGATGGGACCAGCGTGCGTGCAGATCTTCCTGGTAGTGGCCAAGAAGCTGAGTCAGGCGGGGGGCAGCGTGGGCGCCCGCAGTGCCAGGATCTGGCAGGGGAAGCAGAAGATGCTGGACGGGATGGCCGACATCGACGACTTGATAATGTCGGCGCAAGGTTTTCGGACCTCCAGCTGCTACATGGAGGGGGCAGCCAAGCTCACGTTCGCGTTTGCGGACCCCGACCTCCAGAGGTGCCTGCAGTCGTGCGTCGTCCAGCTGGGGGGGCGAGCTGCGACCGGGGCTCGCACCGCGCAGCAACGCGGAGCGGGTCCTCCAGCTGGCCCTAGACGAGCTGGATCTCTGAGGGCTGAGGCACAGGTGACTACTTGTGCGATGGCTCCTCGATCTGCTGAGGATGAAGACGGTGGGGATATCGGGGGCGCTGCGCCAGAAGGTATCCTGGGGAGTGCGAGTGTGGCGCCACAGGGTTCGACTACCGCGACCTGGGCTCGTGGGGAGTACGAGTTACGATCGCTCAGTACTTTGGTACCGCCTCCGTGGTGGACACCGATGGCGACACAGCCGACGTTTTCAAAGCCTCCCCCGCCGATGATGTCAAAAACGCCTCCGCGGTCGATTTCTCAGCCGCCTTCCAGGAACCAGCTGATTTCGAGAAGGATTTCAGTAAGGGTCGAGTGAAGTTGCTCGTGCGGTGATTGAGGCCAGCGCCCCAGCCACCCCTGCCGCCGCCCCTGGTCCTCCTCGTTCGACCCCCACTCCTCGGTTGAGCCTCCCCTCCTCGTCCTCTCGCCCTCACCCGACGCCTGGAGCCATGCCGAGTTTCGAGTCAAGGCCCCAGTGGCCTACGCCAGTCAGTTCTGAGTTTCTTTGGGCCCCGTCCGTGTCTCTCGACCTCGGTGGTCGAGCGAAGTCAATTCGGGGCTCCCACCTCCAAGGGGGGAGGCTACATGTTTCGAATTTTGCGCCCGATAGATCACAGGTTGTAAAGTGCCGTTCAGCTTGCCGCCTGGTCGTTCGTGTGACGAACTCGGTCCGATATCTTTTTACCGCCGCCGCCTCCTCCTCCCCTGTCCTACTCTTCCTCCCCCTCCTCCCGCTCCTCCCGCTCCCCCCCTCCTTCCCCCCTCCCTCTTGCCCCTCCCCCCCCTCTCTCCTCCCGCTCATCCCGCTCCTCCGCGTTGGCCGCGGCGCGGGAGCAGGCCTGCCCTCCTCCTCCTCCTCCTCCTCCTCCTCCTCCTCCTCCTCCTCCAGACCGATGGGATGTGTGGTGCCCACCAGGGTCGGGCCTGTCGGCCGGCAGTCCCGAGCGCGCCGCGGCAGCGCCCCCCGGCTTCGGCCTCCGCCTCGTGGCCCAGGACCGCGTCGCCGACATGATCGGGGAGTCCCTGTCGAGGGCTCTCTCCGACAAGAGCGCGGCCGCGCTGAAGGCCAGCGAGGACCGCGCCGCTGGGCGCCCGCCCCCCTCCAGGGGGTCCAGCCGTGGGCAGGGGCTGCCAGCGAAGCAGGCGGGTCTCACCACCCACCAAACCACCCCAACCCAACCAGAAGGCTTCAATTTGCCCTCCATTTCCAGTTGGGGGGGGTCGGGGAACATCGAAAAAACACGTATGGAACCCATACCCCCCCCCAACCCGAAATCCGGGTCTTCGGGTTGGGTTGGGGTGGTCTGGTAGGCAGTCAGGGTCCTGAGGGAAACGGGCCCCGAGGTTAACGGTTAGAGGATCGATCCGAGGACCGAGGCTCGAGCCATCTTGGGCTTCACGGGCTGGACGCAGCTCGAAAATCTGGTCAAGACGGATGCGGTCCAGTACCCGTCTTAGTGCAGTTTTTCGCTGTTTTCGTTTTCTCGGGCCCCGGGACTGCTTGAAAACGATTCAGGACGAATAATTGGTCCTGGAATGCCCCAGGGTCCAGGACCCGTTTCCTTCGGGACCCGGTTGTTTACTGCCAGAAGGAAGCCAGAGGGGGCGGGCCTTTTCAGAAAGGGTCAGAATGCCTCCTGCCTTCTGAGGAGCTTTCCAAGCCTTCTCCGAAGCCATGAGTGGCTTCTCAGAAGGCTGGCGGGCTTCTCCGAAGCTTGGCCGCCTTCTGAGAAGGCCTGTCTTTCTCTTTCAGAAGGGGGGAGGGAGGGGAGGCATGATTCGATCCCAGGGCTCGCTTGGGCCTTTTTGGGGCTTCTTTGGGGGCCTTTTGGGCAGTTTTGGGGCGATCTTGGGGTCCTCTTGGGCCATCTTGGAGCGTCGGAGGCCCAGAGAGGCGAGAACGCTAAAGTCTTCTAGGAACCGTGGGGAAATCACTTTTTCTGCCTCTTGGGGCCCTCTCGGGGGGTCTCTGGGAGCCCTCTTGGGGCGTCTTGGGGGCCACTTGACGCTATCTGGGGCGTCTTGGGGCGCTCTTGGGCCGTGTCGGGGCACTCATGGACAGTCTGAGGGACCTCCTGGGGACTTCGGGGGTTCTGGGGGCCATTTTGGGCCGGCGCAGCGTCCAGAGAGCTCACGCGTTATACCCGAGGTATTTGTGGGATTCCCAAGAGCGCCCTGAAATTGGGGGCCGAGGCAAGTAATAATTTGGAAGTGAACCTCTTGAACAGCGACAGCTGGCTGGAGAGCCATGGGGCATTCCACCATGTGCTGAAGGCATGGTGGCGAATCTGAGTATATATCTATATCTGTATATTCATATATATATATGGTGTCTATCTACACACACCATAAACACTTTTCTGGATTGGTGTGTAGATCTCGGTCTGCACATGTAGAATTACATAGGTTTACGCATTACAGTTATACACATGTATAGATATGTGCATGTACAGTTTTACACAAACTCTTTGTTTCTAAGCGTGTATACTTTTACATCGTCCATACATATATATATATATATATATATATATATGTAAACATGTATGTTCGCATGCATGCATGCATGTATATATATATGTATGCACAGGTGTTCGTATGCATTTATTCATGTAAATATGTCTGCATGTGTGGATCAGTGTGTGGGTCTGTATGTATGCATGCATGCCTGCATGCATGTATGCTGCTATGTATGGATGTATTGATGTATTGATGGATGTATGCATGTATTCATGTGTGCATGTATGTATGTATGCATGCAGGCATGTACGCATGCATGTATGTATGTATGTGTATGTATGAATGCATGTATGTGTGTATGTATGTATGGATTCCTGTCTGTCTGTCTGTCTATCTGTCTGTATGTATATGTATGTACGTATGTATGTATGTATTTATGTATGTATGTATGCATTATATGTGTTGTATGGGTGCATGCATGGATGGATTGATGGATGTATGCATTCATGCCTGTATGCAGGTAAGCATACATGCATGCCTGCATGCACGTGTGTATGTATGTATGTACATGTGTCTATCTGTCTGTCTGTCTGTCTGTGTGCCTGTCTGTCTGTCTGTCTGTCTGTCTGTCTGTCTGTCTGTCTGTCTGTCGGCCTGTCTGTCTGTCTGTCTGTCTGTCTGTAGGCCTGCCTGTCTGTCTGGCTGTCTGTCTGTCTGTCTGTCTGTCTGTCTGTATGTCGTCTGTCTATATGTATGTATGTATGTAGGTAGGTAGGTAGGTATGTATGTATGTATGTATGTATACCTGTACACATGTATGCACGTGTGTATGTATGTGTGTATGTATATATGCATGCATGCGTGCACATACACACGTACGCACGCACGCATGTATGTCTGCATGCATGCTTGCATGTATTTATGTATGTATGTATGTAGGTATGTATGTATGTACGCATGTACGTATGTATGTGTATATATGTATGTTCATGTATGGCTACTTGTCTGTCTGTCTGTCTGCCTGTCTGCCTGTCTGTCTGTCTGTCTGTCTGTCTGTCTGTCTGTATGTGTGTGTATGTATGTGTGTAAGTATGTATGTATGTATGTATGTATGTATGTAGGTAGGTAGGTATGTATGTATGCTTAACTGTATGTATGTATGTATGTATGTATGTATGTATGTATGTATGTATGTATGTGTGTGTACATACACACCATTATACAGGGGCGGCGGCTCTCAGCCAGGTGCCTCGATACTCCATAGGGGCTTCGGCCCGTCGGGACCCCTCCCTAACGGCCTCGGAGGCGTCCCAGACGCCCCCCCAGACGGGCCAAGAGAGCCCCCAGAGGCCCATAAGACGATCGAACAATTGCCCGAATCGCTAACAGAGGCGCTCAACTCGCATCCGAAGGTCTCCTGACGGCCCAACAGGCCTGGAAGATGCCGCCCAACAATGTCTCCAAGAGCAATCGCACGAGAGTCCCACGACCCCGAACGCATTGATGTTATATAGTTTTTGTTGTTGTTGTCGTCGTCGTCGTCGTCGTCGTCGTCGTCGTCGTTGTTGTTGTTGAACATTATTTATTCTAAAGAATAATTATTGTTGGGCCCCCTGGTGCGCGCCCCCCCTGCGCCGCCTAGGCCGCAGCTACATTTTCATCATTTTCGTGAGGAAGCCTCAGAAAAGAGGGTGTGTACAGGATCCGGTTGTTTTGTTGTAATCCGCTTTCCCTTGCAAAAAACAATAGAAAATGACATTTCTTGTTCTAATATAATCAAATTTCAAGAATCCCTTGCAAAAAATAAGGTAAAGTGGACATTCGCGCGCGCAAGACGAAATCCTTCCAAAACCTTAGTGTTCGCAACGATTTTAACATAAAAACATCAAAAAACCAATGGTTTTTCAACAAAAAATGTCAAAATCTCATCCCGCGCGCTCTTGCGGATTCGTAGGAAACCCAACACTTTTTAAACATTTCTGTCAAACGGGCTTTTGCGAGCAACTTTTTCGAACTTCTGCGACAACGGTTGCGCACCTGCCAGGGCCATCATCCCTGTCAAATAATACCATGCGGGACACATTCGTTTTTTCTTCGCGCGCGCACGCCGAAATCTCCAAAAACCATTGGGCTTCTTAAGAATTTTAGCACCGCGCATCATAAAATCACACGAATCGCACCGTAGGTCCTCGAAAAACACCTGCACGACTTTTCAAAATTTCTACCCGCGCGCGCTGTCCGAATCCTAAAAAAAACCAATGGTTTTCCAACATTTATGTTACATGAGCTCGCGCGAGCTACTTTCGCACGCTCTTGCAACGGGGTTCGCGCGCCTGCCAGGGGCCACAATCCCTTGCGGTTGCGCCATAGGTTGCGCCCTCGGCCGCCGAGAATAAAACGTCCCCCTATTGGTTGCGCCATAGGTTGCGCCCTCGGCCGCCGAGAATAAAACGTCCCCCTACTGGTTGCGCCATAGGTTGCCCCAGGAGGCCTTCAAGAGGCCCCAAGAGCCCGCCGTGAGGACCCAATAAGCCCCCAAGAGGCCCCAAGATGCTTCCAAGAAGCCCCCCAAAGCCCCTCAAGAGGACCCCAAGCGGCGCCAGGAGGCTTCCCCCCTTCCCCAAGAGGACCCCAAGCGGCCCCAGGAAGCCTCCGACTGATCACTGGCACATCCGTAGCCATCTCGGATCAAGGTATCGCCTGTGTTCTTGGATGGTCCATGGCTTTGACGGCGAAAGCCCTTGACGAGCAGTATGGCCCGGAGCTGTCGCGGCCTCCCTTGGCCGACTGCGAGAGCCCGTATTATTTCTGGGAGTTATTTGGGGAATTGGCCGAGGCCCGGCCAATTCCCCAAATATGGCGAGGCCCGTTGCTATGCAACAGATGTTCTGGGGAAGGCTTAACAACTTCTGTGGGTTAACAAGGCTTAACAACTTCTGTGGGTGTACGAACGTAGGCTTAACAACTTCTGTGGGTGTGTACTCCACGCCAGTGTAGTAGCCACGGTCGTCCGCAGGCCACGAAGTGAAGTGTCCGAACGTCATAGGGCGGGAAGCTGGGTGTGGGTGGTGGCGAAGAGTCGTGTGGATATTTGGTAGAGCTTGCACTGCCCCCCCACAAAGTGGGGGTATTGGCTGGCGTCGCATGAAAACCCTGGCACTGGTGAGAACACTGAGCGTTCGGGTAAAGTGATTGTTGTTGTTGTTGTTGTTGTTGTTGTTGTTGTTGTTGTTGCTGCTGCTGCTGCTGCTGTCGTCGTCGTTGTGTTTGGTTGTTTGTTTGCTTGTTTGTTTGTTTGTTTGCTTGCTTACTTGCTTTTTTGTGTGTTTTTTTCCACAGGATTTCCAGATTCCTGCCGTTCCGGGTTCTCCCCGCTCCCGAACGGCCCCAAAGGCCCCCAAGGTCGCAGCACCGCCTCAGACGCCTCCTAGAAGGTGCCAATGCAGCCCTTGTGGGCTCCAAAATGCCCCCCCGAGCCGCTCCTGAGGCGTCCCAGGCGACTTTCTCCCAGAACGCCCCTAGTCGCTGACAGAGATGCTCATTACGCCCCAGATGGCTTCCCCATGGCCCATCGGCCTCCAAGACGGCTCAAGATGCCTCCAAGAACACTTCCACGAGTACCCAAACAAACTCAAATCATTGAGTTTATTTTGCTTTGAAGGATTTTCGCTATGCTGCCTTTCTGGCTTCTCCCCGCTCAACGACGGCCCAAGAGGCCCCCAAGATCGCCCCAAGACTGCTTCAATGGCCCCCAAGAAAGTACCAATATAGCCCCCAGGGCCGCAAGACGGCACTCGTGGCGCCCCAGAGGCGTCCTGGACGGCCCCACGACGGCCCAAGAGAGCCCCCAGAGGCCCCCAAAACCATCCAAGAACGCCCCCAATCGCTAACAGAGCCTCTCCACACGCCCCGCAGGCCTTTCCACGGCCCAGTAGGCTTCGAAGACGGCCCAGGATGCCTCCACGATCATTCCTACGAGACAACCAAGACATGAATTTCGTTATTTTTTATTCGAAGGCCTTTCCAGGATTTCCACCATTCGATTTTCTGGCGTCTCCACTCTCTCAGACGGCCCGAGAGGCCCCCAAGATCTCCTCAATTTTGCTTCAGACGCCCCAAAGAAGGCGTCAATACAGCCCCTGGGGGCCCCAAGACGGCCCACGAGGCCTCCTGGGCCTCTCGGGCCCCAGGAGGAGCCTTCCAGGAGCCCCATCGAGACCCTCTTGGACCCTCCCAGCGCGGCGTGGGAGCGCTCTCAGAGTGCTCCAGTAGTAGTGACAATGAACGTCACGCGAGAGAGCGCGTGCGTGACTTACCTTTCACTGCTGTTGGGGGCCTCCAGGCCCCTCTTCGGGCCCTCCTGGGGCCCTCTCCAGACCCTCTTGGGGCCCTTCCACGCGGCCTCGGAGGCATCCCTGAGGGCTCCAATAGCAGCACGAGTTCTGCCACGCCAGAGGGCACTCGCGTGACTTACCTTTTACTGCTTTTGGGGGCCCGCCAGAGCCGTGTTCGGGTCCTCTGGGGTCCTTCCGAGACCCTCTTGGGGCCCTTCCACGCGGCCTCGGAAGCGTCCCCGAGGGCTCCAACAGCAGTGCGAGTTATGCCACGCAAGAGCGTTCGCGTGACTTACCTTCCCCTCGTGTGGGTGGGCGTAGTTGTATACGTACATGTGTGCGCATGCGCCGTACGTACGTGCATGTACGTGTGCACATGTGTATGTACATGTATCTAATGGCCTTCGGTCCATCTCGTCACCGTGCCTGGGTTGTGGGTGTGAAGCCTATTGGATGCTTGTTGGGCTCTGGTTGGAGGCCTCTCGGGGGCCTCTTGCAGGCAGTTTGGAGGCCTCTTGGGTGCAGTTTTGATGCCTCTTGGGGCTTCTGATGGGCCTCTTGGGGGCCTCTTTGGGGCTCTTGGGGGCCTCTTGGTGGCCTCCTGGGGGCCCCTGGGCGCCTCTTAGGGTATCCTGGGGGCCTCTTGGGGCGGACAGCTAGATTTTTCGGTTCGTGTTCCCTCTCTTGGGCCCCTCTTGGGGCCGTCTTGGGACCCTCTTAGGGTCCTCCTGGGGGCCTCTTTGGCCGTTTTGGGGAGGTCTTGGGGGCACACTTGGGCCGTTTTGGAGCGTCGGAAACCCGAACAGGCGAGAACGCCCAGCTCCTTCAAACACTTTTTCCGTCGGCCCCAAATAGGGCCCCCCTGCCTTCCACAGGCCTCCAGGGCCTTCAGGAGTTTCCAGGGAGCCAGCGGTGCTTCCAAGAGGTTTTCGGAGGGCTCCAGGACGGCCCAAGGTTCGCCAACTCAGTGGCTGGAACCACCAGCCCCTGAGAACCCCGCCAACTCAATCTGGCTCAGCTCAAGCTCCTGCCGGCTCGGCGAAAGATTGTCGAGCGTGAGAGCCTCTGACGACTCCACCCAGCACCCACCCAGCTCGCCATGGCACGCGCAGCGCCCGCCCTGATCCTCGCCGTTGCTGCCACCCCGAAAGGGGCGCTCGCTGCCAGTCTTTGCATGGACTTGCCAAACTGGAGAGACATTCAGCGTGGGAGCGGTGGCCCAGTGCAGGTGTGGGATTGCCTCATGTCGGACCAGCCTGGCCTGTCGAAGTTCGCGCGCGAGAACCAGCAGTGGCTCGTGCCAGCACGTACTGGAGGTCCACAGCAGATCCGCTCGCAAGCTTGGGAATGGTTGTGCTTGGACCTCGCAAGCGGCGACACCACAAACGGGAACGCGGTAGAGGCTTGGGAGTGCAATGGCTTAGACAACCAGCAGTGGGTCTTTGGAGATGACTATCACATTCGGTACTTCGCAGACCAGAGCAAGTGCGTTGACGCTGGCGACATGTCGGAGGGTACCCAGTTGACGATTTGGGATTGCAATGGCCTGTCGCAGCAGAATTGGGGCTACGACTCCGATGGCTACATGAAGACCATCTTCCTCTCGGACTCTCGGCGCTTGCAGGTGCCCACTCCGGGCCATCTGCGCGGCGCCCACAATTCGAGCACAGCCGCCGCGGCGCTGGCCGCCGCAGGAGCACCGCGGAGCACCTCGGGGCAGCAGGAGGGGGCCAGGGCGCCTCGGGCGGATCGGGTCGCCGAGCAGCGTGGCTCCGCGCACAACCTGACGATCAGCCCGTGCCCGGTGGACCCGAGCCAGAGGGCTTGCAACCCTGGCGACGCCGGCCAGAGCTTCTCGTTCGAGGCCGTCTGCGACTGCCAGTTCGACTCGTTCTGCCGGGCGGAGTGCCCCGCGCCCCACGGGGCCGACTGCTGGATCTGCACGGGCGGCGGCTGCCTGGGCGGCGGCCTGGGCCGCGACTTCGACTCCGCGGTCGCCAAGGCGTACCCCGGCTGCCAGCCATGCAATGTCCCCAGCGGTGGCGGCTTCGACTGGAAGCTCTATGCGGTCGAGGACCACCACTGCTAGGCCAAGAGGGCAGGTGCGGCGCCTCCGAGGAGTTCGCCACGAAGCGCCGCGGGGAGGACTTCGGCACGAGCTGTCCAGGAATGGGGCAGCGCGCGCCCGTCACTGGCCTCACCCAGCCGCGCGGCGCGGCGAGAGGAGCTCTCGTTCTGATTCTCTGAGCATGGGTTTGCGTCCTTCTATATATATATATATAGAGATAGAAGTCGGGCGTGTCCCTCTACAGGGGGAATCTTCAAAAATAGTCAAACAATAGTCTGGGGACGATTTTTGGATTACTTTTGAGTATTTGGCTTTTCCTGTCGAGTATTTTTTAAAGTTTTTCGCCCCAAATCCCCCTGTAGGGGGGCACGCCCGACTTGAATAGAGGATTCGGGCGTGCCTGGCAGCATTCGCTGCCTGGACCTGGCCCGCGCGGCCCTCGGCATGCTGGGTGGTGCAGGCAATTTCCTTCTTGACTTGTCGGGCTCGCCATAAGTGCATGACGCCCGCGCAGTACAGTGCATCCAGCCTGAAGCTACAGCGGTCTCCACCCACGCCGAAAGACGGATCAAACAAGTTCCAAGACCGCGTCAACGAGCCCCTCATACGGCGCTCAGCAACGGCCCCGAAATACTTTCAAGACGGCTCGTTTAACATTCGTCCAAGAGGCTCCACGACGTTTCCCAACTGACATTGATTTGCAGTCCGTTGCATCGCCGTTGCATGTGTTTTCATCACGCCGCTTTGCATTGATGGGTTGGTTGGGTTCACTTCATTGCACGGCTTTGCATTGCTTGGATTTGAACTCGCTTGGGTCTACCCGTCTCAGTACCCCGTCGTAATTCGGTCCGTTGCCTCGCTGCTTCCTCAACTGCTCTTCCAATTGTGGGAGCGCATACGCATGCAGGTGTGAGCTTGTCAACGGCTGGAGCTTGCTAGAACCTCAGGGCGCGCAACGGGCTTGCGCGCTTTCGTGATGTGTTGGTTCTGCGTGTGGTAGTGGCGTCAATAGCTTGACTCCTAGTTGAGAGTACAGTGGGGGCCGATGTCAAGAAACACACTCTGCTTGCCTCCAGGGTGCCCTGGGTTTCTTGGGTTTCGATGGTTTGGCTATGGGAAGCGTGACGTTCCAACTCCCAAATCGATGGACGTCTTGGGGTCTCAGGGTTTGGTTTCTTGTGGAGGGTTTCTTGTGATCGGGCCCCTACTGTATCAACGCCGATGGTGATGATCATGATTCTGCTGCTGAGCATGATGACGATGGTGACGATGATGATGCTGCTGATGATGGTGACGATGATGTTGATGATGCTGCTGATGATGAGGATACTGGTGCTGTTGCTGCTGCTTCTACGGATGATGATGACGATGTTGATGTGCGGCTGCTGATGATGATGATGCTGTTGATGCTGATGATGTTGCTGATGCTGAATCTGATGACGAGGACGCTGATGATGCTGTTGACGTTGAGGTTGATGATGATGATGTTGCTGTTGGTGATGCTGATGCTGCTGCTAGCGATGATGATGATGCTGATGATGGTGATGCTGATGATGATGATGATGACGATGATGCTGCTGATGATCATGGTGGTGATGATGATGGTGGTGAAACGACGATGATGGCGATGATGACGATGATGTTGATGCTGCTGATGATGATGATTCGTGTTATTATCATACTGGTAATGGTCATGATGATGCTGATGATGATGTTGATGATGATGCTGATTCTGATTTAGCTGATGCTTATGATGATGATGATGATGATGATGATGATGATGATGATGATGACAATGCACATGCCGATGTATGTCGATAGCGCTTGTCGGTTGCACCGTCCGTGTTGGCATGGCTACGATGGTGATGACGATGCACCTCACGACGACAACCATGAGAAAACGTCGACGACCACGGTGGTGGTGGTAATGCGGATGTCAAGTGCACGAACGACTGCGCCACGGTCGTGAAGTCGGTCGGCGTCGAGGGTTTCATCAGCGCGCTTGCAGGGCAGCTTTCTGTTGGGACCCCCGCAGGAGGCGACAGTAGCAGAAGGCCGTCAGGGCGAGCTGCAGGCGGCGCAGGCGGCGGCCGACAGCGCTCAGGAGGACATGGCCAAGGCTGCATGTGCGTGCGTGCGTGCGGGTTCGGGATGAAAAGCGAGTGGCAGTGACACGCTGCCGTTGGTAGCCCGTCAGCGTGTTGTTCCTTCGCTTGGATCCGAAGGGCCTGGCGTTCCCTCAGCAGTGCCCGCCGATGGGCCCCCCACGTCGGCGTGCCGTTGCTTCTGGTTTTGCCCCCCGATGTCTGCCTGCCGACCAGCGCTTTTCTTTGGTGTCGACGGTCGGAGTCATCAGTGCGCGAGCGCGGCCGTGCCTGCGTGTGTGCGCGTGCCTCTTCGTGGCGTGCGCGTCGCCGTGGCGTGCGCACGTGCCGCCACTGAGGGCGAGGGCGTCGCGATACCCCCCTGTCCCCCGTGGCGTCCTCCTCCTCCTCCTCTTCCTCCTCGTCCTCCTCCTCCCTGTCCTCCTTCTCCTCCTCCTCCTCCTGCTCCTCCTCCTCCTCCTCCCCCTCCTCCTACTCCTCTTCCCCCCCCGCCTCCTCTTCCTCCTCTTCCTCCTCCTCCTCCTCCTCCTCCTTCGAGTCCTCTGGACAGGTGTGCTTCAAGTGAGTGATGAATCTGCCGCCCTGCCGCAATCGCGGGGCTCAAGCTTGAAAGGGGGGGAGGGGCATCGCATCGCGCAGGCTTCGTGCATACCCGACCTGCCCCTCGCGGTCGCGCAGTGGGCGGGGCAGGCGACTTACGCGTGGCTCGCCTCCTGCCCGCGCTGACCCAACGCCGTGTGTGGCACCGTGGTGTGCCCAGAGGTGCATTGTGCAGCCGTCCCACCGGGCCCTGCCTGCCCAGCGTGTCCGAGCTGCATCGGGCCTACCTAGACAGTGTGTTCAGAGGTGCCGCCCGCTACCTTACCAGTCTGGACTCGGCTGAGCATTCCCTTCCTCATCCTGGTGAGCGGCACCGTTGGAGCAGTCGTGGCAGCTTGAAGCCTGGGAGGCACCCGGGCGCTCTGGCTTGTGTATCGTCGTGTGCTTCTCGCAGCTCAGATGGCGGCGGTAGTGCCGGCACCGGTGCTCAGGCCCTGGTTGTGGTTCCGCTACCAGGGGGAGGACCTGTACCACCAGCGTCGCGTCGTCGGGGTGCTGGCCTCGTCGGCGACGCAAGCGACTGATCCCGACGAGGTCATCGGAGTCTCGCCAGATGGAGACTCCGAGCAGATCGACCTTTCGGGAGCCTCGCGTGACATCGAGGCGTGGCGCTGGTCCGATCGATGTCTGTCGTCTACCACTTCCTGGAGTCCCTCGGAGTCGGGTCTACAGGTTCGACAAGGAGCCCGACGCAGGGTCGTTGGCAAGCCTGATCGCCGCTGCGGGCACCTTTTGCGACGCCGCTTACATCGCGCGCGAGCAGGCGGCTAGGCAGCTGGGGTTGGTGCCCGCCTTGGGCAGTCTTGTCCGCTCGGTCTGGCCCGCCCCAGCTGCTGGAGCCGCTGGCGCCAGGCGCCCGTGGCGGGCGCGGCCGCCCCGCTCGCCCTCGGGGCAGCGGGCCCGTCGCCCTGGCGGCCGCCGCGGCGCCCGCCTCCGTGGCCGCGGGCCTGGGCGCTTTGGCGGCTGCGCCCGCGGCGGCGCCAGCAGTGGCTCTGGCCCCGGGGGTTCCCCTGGCCGCGCCGCTGGCCGCCGCCCCCGTCCCCGTGCCGTACCTCGTGCTGGTCACCGTCGAGACGATTTCCCAAGGGCCTGGAGGATCGCTCATCACGGCGAACGGCTCCGAGGTCATGACAGGTGACATCCGCGCACGCACGGACCCGCGGCAAGGCGCCCTCCTCGTGCGACGTATCCGCTCGGACCTCGTGCGCGAATTCAGGGGGCACGCAGCCGCAGGTGATGCTCGCCCCCTGGCCGTGATTTCTCTGAACGGTGTGCGCTCGAGACGTCCTTGGCGCGATGTCGTGGCCCCCCTGGCGGAGATCCCTTCCCCCGATTGGGAAATCGAGGTCCCCCGTGCCACATTGTAGTGCCGCCGCTGGATCGACCCGCGTGGTGGAGGCCCCTATCGATCACCATCGCTTCTTTCTCATGATCCATCGCCTCACCAAGGATATTTCGTTGGGGGATGGCCATGCGTGAGTTCGGCATGAAGGCCCTCGAGACGTTCGGCACGTACGACAGTTTGGACGTGCCCAGCGTTGCGGGCGTCGAGTCTCTGATGCGAGAGGTGCAGCTCGTGGAGTGCGCCGAAGCACGACGGCGCCTCAGGATCGCCCCCAGAGTCTGCTGAGGGCGGCAGTGGCCGCGGCAAGAAGGGTCGCGGTCGTGGCCGTGGTGGTGCTGCGGGCGCCTTCGGCTACCTTGCTGAGTACAACGCCTTCTGGGGTCAGCGTGACAGCGGCGAGGCGATGGCGCGTCCCGCCCTCGCCGAGTGGGCCGCCAAGCAGGTGGAGTGGGGCACCAACATCCTCGAACAAGTCCGCGAAGCCCGTGAAGAGAGGGCTGATGCGGGCCCGGCCTCGGGTTAGGCCAACGCCCTCTGCGTGAGCTTCCCCTCAGCTCCCGCTCTGAGGGCTAGGCTCGCCGTGGCACGCGAGCTTCGATTTTCCGCCATCTGCGGTCGGCTCTTGGCCTCCCGCCTCTGTCCTTTTCCCGCCTTCCTGCCCCGACGCAGCGTGGCGCCTGGTCCCGTGGCGCGGGCGTGTCCCCGTGACCTTTTTCCCCACCCTGTGCCGGCCTCCCCAGACCCTTCTGGGGCCTCCGTTTCCCGCGGGGTATGTAGGAGATTCGAGGTTCACCGTCAGTCCGCGTCCCTGGTCTCCGAGGCAGCGTCGGTTCAGAACGAGCTTAGCGGTGCGCGTGATCTTGGGCCCCCTCGCAAGGTATCGGCTGCCCAAGAAGCGCGTCTGGATCGCGTCCACCGCGCAGTCCGTCGTTTCGGCAAGCCCCCCGAGGACTTCACTTCCGCGGGGGCCTTGCGAGAGTTCCGCGTCAACCCCGGCTACCCCCAGGTGAGCAGCGCCGTGGTTCCCGTCAGCGATGCTACCATAGACCGCGTCGCACTACTCTGTGTGTTTTGTTTGAAGTTCGGGAGGCCCCCGGGGGGTGGCATTTTGACCCGGGCCCCCCCCTGGGACCCCCCCTGGACTCCCCCTGGAATCCACCTGGGACCTCCCCCCTCCGGCGGGGAAGGGATCAAGGGAAGCAGTTTCCCTTCGATTCAATTACGTGCGACGTTATTTAGATTTGTTCTAGCTGGCGCGCCTGAGGAGGAGAGTTCAGGTGAAGAGGGGGGACGGCGATGGCGACGACGACGACGAACGGAAGAGCCCCTCCCACGCGCCGACAGGGTCGGCGGATTCTATCAGAGTGGGATCGAGCTCTGGTAGGGTTCAAGTAGAACTGGATCCAGCTTCACTAGGATTTCACTCGGGCTGGAGAGAGCCTTAGTAGAGCTTGGTCGAGCCCTAATCTGATTCTACTCGGGGGAGGGCCCTCCTCCCCTCCGGTTCGAACACCCATCTCTCCCTTGAACAGGGGTGGGGGCACTTTGGAGGGCCTCCCCCCTCCCCTGTTGAGGGAGGCCAGTGTCCGGGGGTGGGGGAGGGCGGTTTTCCAGGCGCGCTGAATGTTTGTCTGCATGGGGGGAGCGGCAGTTGCGATGTGTTCTGGTTTTTTGTTTCAAAATATGCGTTCACGAAACGCGTTCTCGTGTAGTTACAATGATCCATCTTGCGACCGCAGCCTTCATCTTCAAACTTTTTGACGGGTGGCCCAATGTTGCGAAATGTTGAACATAAGAAAACAGTGCTGTTCGTCGAAGCTCTCGGTGGGACTGGTCCCACAATCGTTCGGAATTTCCCGCTCTCTCAGGGTCACGGTCCCTGTTAACAGATCGCTCGACGCGGGTGTCCCCAAATGTGTATATCATTATATGACATTTCGCCCTGTGAGCGTGCGGGTGCGACTGGATCCCAGCGTGAGGAAGACCGAGCGGTAGTCCGAATGCGAGCGTTGCTGTCTGTTGCTCGGAGCCGGTGAGTCTCTGCCTTTCAGTGTTGCTCTTTCTGCTGTGTTATGGAGCTTGGCGTTGATCTGTGACGGTTTCATTCGGCGTCTGGCAGGGCACGCGCGTGAACATCCTGGCGCACAGCCAGACGCACGTTCGCAATGGGCGCATTGCGGCGGCCACGGCGGCCACTGAGTGCAACGAGCCTGAATTGGAGCGAGCTTGGACACGAACGGCCAAACGTGAGTGGCGTTAAATGCGCGCGGCAGAGCACCTTTGATTCGCATGCGCCATGGGGTCAAGCAGTAATTCAGTCGGCAGTGAAAACGCACCTTGGGTCATGGGGTTCTGAAATCATGCGCTCTTACTTGGCGAATGCACAGCTTCTACATATGCAATTTGAGCGCGAACGGGTCAGTGCAGGACCCCCTGGTCGGCTACATCGCGGTGGTCGTGGAGTTCCTAGGAAAGCAAAAACTCACCCGCTGGGCTGAAACAGGCGTTTCGCGTGACGTGTCCCTGCAATCCGAGTGCGAAGGGGCCCGTGCAACAGCCCCTGGTGGCTCCCCACTTGGGATGCCCGGGTGCCAAGCTTGCCACATCGTAGTGATCATTGCCCCGTGAACGAGACACGTCCGCCAGGCCGAAACAGGAGCTTCCCGTGAAGGGTCCCCGCGATTTTGGCGCGAACGGACCGTGCAACACTCCTCTGCAACATCGCGGTTGCCATGGGGCCCTGAAAACAGATGTCCATTGGGTCGAAACAGGCGTTTCGCGTCACATGTTCCCACAGTGCAGGCGCTATCGGGACCGTACAACACTCGTTTGCGGCCGCCCTTTGGGAAGCTCGAGCGGGCCCGTGCAAACACCCCTGGTTGCCTCCTCTTTTGGATTGCCCGAGTTCAGCGCCTACAACTTCGCAGTGATGTTGGGGCTCTGAGAAGGGACTCGTCCACTAGACCGAAAAATGGCGTTTCGCTTGTGCGGCCCTCGCGATCTGGGCGCGACGGGCCCGTGCAGCATTCCTTGGCCTGCTACCTCGCGGTGGTCATTGAGAGACACGCCCACTGGGTCGAAACAGGCGTTTTGCCGGAGAGGTCCCCAGCACCCCCTTGAATAGCTCAAGTGGCATGCCTGCTGCGTCGCGGCAACAATGGGCCTTTCAGAAGAGATTCGCTCACTAGGCTCGAACAAGCGCTTCGCGTGAGAAGTCCTCGGGAACGGGCCCTTGCAATACCCTTCAGTGCTTTTCGAAGCCAAAGTGCAATGCCTGCGGCATCGCGTTTGTCATGGGTCCTGAAACGAAGCGGCGGCTCTTATGAATGGCCCGGTGTGCGCTGAGTGCGGGCGGGGCAAATGATGAGTGAACCTCAGTGTAATGGAATGTAGTGTGAGCAGTTGTGGCTATGAGTAGTTGGGTATCAGTGGGTCTGCGTGCGATTTGCGATGGACATGATGATGCGGGAGGAATTGGGCGGATTGGTTTCCCAAATTCTTGAAGCCAGTATTTCAGGGGCATGGGGGACAAACGCAGCTGGACTGTCCTTCCCACGTGTTTTCGCCGAGTAGTTACATCTGACTGGATATGAGGATAATAGGAGTGTATAGGGTCGGCTTGAACCTCCCGCCCCCTCAGGGTCTCGTTCCAGCGTATACCGAGGAGGATGAGGTTGAGGAGGGGGATTAGACGCCCCCTCAGCAGGAGACGGTTGAACAGGTCATGTTCCCTTCCTCCATCCTCTCCTTTGGTATTCTTCCTGTTCGACGTCCCTCCATTTCCTCATCAACCGCGTCCTCATCCTTTTCTTCGTTCGTTTCCCTCCTGATGGCCCTGCTCCATCTCCTCTTATTGTTGCTGATACAGATTGGAGTGTACTTCCTGTTCTTGTCGGGCCAAGATGTATTTCAGATGGAGGATGGTCGCACAGAGCGGAGCAGAAGGAGGAGCAGGAGGAAACGGAGGATGAGGAGGACGGCGAATGAAGAGAAACATTTGTCAATCCTCGCTTTCCCAGCACGAGCTGGTTGAACAGGTTCCCTTTCCCTCCTCCCCTCGCTCCTCTTTCTCGTTGTTCTTTCTCCTCTTCCACCCTCCTTCTTTCCCTGTTTTTCTTCATCATCATGCTCTTCTTCATTCGTTTTCTTCCTCCTGATGGGGATTTTAGTCTTCGCGAGGCCGCGCAGGAGAAGAAGGCCGCCCTCGACTCGGCCGACGCCGCCCTGGCCGAAGCGAGGGCGGAGGCGGCCAAGAAGGCGGATGAGGAGCAGGCCGCGAAGATGGCGGAGGCGGCGAAGAAGGCCGAGTGCGACGACTTTGTTGCCCTGGTAGCCGAGCACCTTGGACCCCTGAAGGATCTCGGGCGATGACAGATGTGCACGTGCACCGATCCTGGCTAGGCCCATCCTGGGCCCAGGATCGGTGCGTATGCCTCCCTGGCCGAACCTGGAGGGTGTATGCACCGATCTTGGGCCTGGGCAGCCTCGGTGCATGTGCATACGTGCCTCTATTTCTTTGGTTGCTGTGGAGGATCGGGGCCAGCGTGCATGAGAGGTCCCCTATCCTCCAGAGGTCGAGCCAGGGCAGCCTCCTCGCCTTTCTAGAGACGCTTCCAGGGTTGAGGACTCTTCAGCAAGGGTGGGGTCTACGTCAGGGCCCCTTCAGCGTTCCAGCGGCCAGAGAGGGCACATGTTGACTTCCACCATCGGCTCGATGCGTACCCAAGCGGCGCTAGGCTGCTTCCGAGGTGGCGTCTCGGGGGGCGCGCATGCAGCGCAGTCTGCTCTTCGCAAGACTCTGTAGATACCGTTGTGGCAGTTAGACTGCACGGCGTGGTTTCGCACGTGGAATGCCGTCATGCTCATTACGGGAGCTGCCAGTGCAGTTGCCAAACCACCGCCTCCGACACCAGGTGGTACGACTCTCGAGCACGGGGGATACGTAGAGGGCAGGGGGGGATGGGGAGGGAGGCCAGAGGAGAGGGGAGGGGAGAGGAAAGCTTTGCTCTCACAGCGCGTCCCCATGAGGGGCAGCGGGCAGCCCGCTCGCTGGACCAGCGCACTGCACCACGCTCAACTTAAAACGCTTGGATGACTGCACCCAGGGAATGCCACGGACAAGAGCACTGCAAGTGCGGAACAGCCGAGGCGCGATATTCCGAACAAGCGCCACATCTCCTCCTGGCCAGCTGCCCTCTTGGACCGATGCCGACCAGAGTCAGCTGCCTGTCGCCCCCCAGGGGGGCAGCAAGCGCCGTGAACGCTTGGGACCGCACCCCGGAGGAGGGGGGCAGGAAGGAATCCGGGCTCAAGAGACGGGGGTCAAGCGAACGAGGGTCAGCCAGAGCGCCGGACCTTGTAGGATCCTGTAGAGCCAGGGGTGCACTGACCCGGGCTTGGGTGCAGGATCCTGCAGGATCTTGCAGGATCTCCTGCAGAGCTCGGCTGACCCGGGTCTGGACTGGCCCGGGCCAGCAGATCCCCGAGGAGGAGGAGGAGGAGGAGGGAGAAAGAGGAAGACGGGTGGGAGAGGAGGGGAGGGATAACACTTTGGCACCAGCACCTCGGCATCCGCTCCCGCTGTTGGGCTTCTACGTATGATGAAGGACGGCTTGGTTGCAAGACAGGAGGCGGTTCCCTGCCCTCCTAGTGGTGTCGCGGCTCTCACTGTGTGCTGGTGATGTTGGCCTTTGCGTCCCCACATGCTGTGCACAGCCAGACCGAATTTCCTTCAGCTCCACTTGGGGGTGGCGTCAACGGGTGGGGCGAACGTTGAGCGCGTTTGCTGGTGCGAGATCGTCTTTTTGTTTCTCGGAAGGCGGCCTGCGCATGTGAAATGTTCCCCATAAGTTTCGCCCATGCGGCAGTTTGAAAACGCCTCGATGTCGCTTTGGGTTGGCTTCGCGTGTGACTGAAGCGGTTGGGGCCTGGGTGCATGTTTATCGGCGTTTCTCTTTCTACGTTTGGACGCGCCATTGCGATTGTGCGCTTTGGAATGAGACCAGAGGGATCAATATCTTCTTTGCTCTGGGTCAAGGGGCAGATGTTTTCGGAATGCCCGAGTTTGGAAGCGGTTATGGGGGCCATCCCCCAATTTGTTTTTTGCCAGCGTCGCCTCTCTCAACCATCTTGTGGTGTTAGGTCCTCGTTTCGAAGAGAGTGCCCCGCGCTCCTTCCTCCTCATCTCCTCGCCCCCTTCTCCCTCCTCTCTTTTCCACCATGCGTCTCCCGCACACAGGACAACGTTTCGGGGCTGTATAGGGATCTCCGCCGAAGGCCCCAGTGGTTGCACTCGTATGCGGTTCCCCCACCCAAAACTGCGTTTCGTGGCGCCATAGGGGTTGCTACAGAGAGCCCCGACGGCTGCAGTACCATGGGGTTCCCCCACTCAGGCCGGCTTTTCGTAGCCCGAAAAGGAGCTCCACCTAGAGCCCGACCGGCTGCACTCGCATGCGATCCCTTCCGCCCAGGATCGCATTTCGTGGCCCCGTCGGGAGCTCCACCGAAGACCTTGGTGGCTGCACTCGCATGCGGTTCCCCCACCCACGACCGCATTTCGTGGCCCCATGGGGAGCCCCACCGAAGGCCCTGGTGGCTGCATTCGCATGCGGTTCCACCACCCAGGACAGCGCTCCGTCGCCCCATATATGCGCTTCACCGAAGGCTCCGGTGGCTGCACAAGCATGCGGACCTCCGACCAAGGACAGCGCTTCGTGGCCCCATGGGGAGCCCCGCAGAAGGCCCCTATGGCTGCACTCGCATGCGGTTCCAGCGCTCACGCCAGCGTCTCGTGGCCTCATCGGGAGTTCCGCCGAAGGCCCATGTGGCCGGACATGCATGCGGTTCCCTCCGCCCAGGACAGCGCTTCGTGGCCCCGTCGGGAGCTCCGACGAGGCCCCAGTGGCTGCACTCGCATGCGGTTCCCTCCGCCCAGGATCGCGTTTCTCGGCTCAATCGGAAACTCCATCGAAGGCCCCAGTGGCTGCACTCGCATGCGGCCCCCCCACCCAGGACCAAGTTTTTCGGCTCAAACGGGGATTCCACCGAAGGCCCTGGTGGCTGTACTCGGATGCGGTCCCCCCCACCCAGGACAGCGTTTCGTGGCCCCGTACGGAGCTCCACCCAAGGCCCCAATTGCAGCACTCGCATGCGGTTCCCCTGCCCAGGGCCGCGTTTCTCGGCTCGATCGGGAGCTCCACCGAAAGCCCTGGTGGCTGCACTCGCATGCCGTTCCCCCACCCAGGACAGCGCTTCGTGGACCCGTGTGGAGCTCCATCGAAGATGAAATCTTCACAATTGCGGAACCCACAACTGCATATGGTGAGGGCCATCTCCAGACAAATTTGCGAGGAACCGTTGCCGCGAGAGCGTGGACCTGATGTACTTCCACGGAGGATCCTTGTTGCGGGAGTGAGCATTTGTTGCTTTTCACTGGGGAAGCGGGGCCCAATGCATGCGGCGCTCTGCGGCGAGAGGGGCGGTGGCAGCCCCTGAGAAGACTTGCAGAAACCCTGCCAGACAGCCCTTGGCATTCTAGCGTGCCCCTAACGAGTATGAGGTCCTGTGGCATGTGCATCCTCCACCGCTTGCCCTCGTTTGGGAAATATGTTTTGGCTCCAGTTGCCATGGTCCATGCCATCGGGTCCTCGCCGTCTGCTTCTCCTGCCGCCCATCCTTCTGCTGCTTTCCTCATGCTCCCAAATCGCATTGCCATCAAACCCTTTCGAAAACTTCCATTGGACACCGCAAACAGTCTCAATTGTCCTCAACTGGACCGCCTTTCTCGTCTCAATTTCTCTTAATCCACGGTTTGAACGAAGAATTATATTTCTCAATTTCTCTCAAAAGATTTCAATTTCTCTCAATTCGTCTCAATGTTTCTCAATTCGCCTCAAAACGAGAGTTCCATAGTATACGCCGGCGTGTTGGGGCCCCGCTCCCCTCTCAAAATATCTTTTTGGGAATGTCGTGCAGTCCCAAGCCAGTTCAGATTTTCCTGCCTGCTATTCCAATTCATCGGGAATACGGTTCCCATGGATCTCATCGTGCTCCTCATGCTCCTCCTCGCTCGTCACTTTCCACCCCAGCTAGCTTCTCCTCATCCTGATCCTCCTCCTCTTGCTTCCCCCTGCTGACCGCTCGTGTTGCTCCGCCGAAGGCCCCAGCGGCTGCACGCGCATGCAGTTCCCCCACCCATGCCAGCGCTTTGTGTCCCTATCGGATGCCCGACCGAAGGCCCCAGTGGCTGCACTCGCATGCGGTCCCCCCACCCCGGACAGCGTTTCGTGGCCCCGTAGGGAGCTCCACCAGAGGCTCCAGTGGCTGCACTCGCATGCGGTTCCTCCGTCCAGGACAGCGCTTCGTGGCCGGGAGCTCCACCGAAGACCTTGGTGGCTGCACTCGCATGCGGTTCCCCTGCCCAGGACCGCGTTTCTCGGCTCAATCGGGAGGTCCACCGAAGGCCCCAATGGCTGCACTCGCGTACGGTTCTCCCACCCAGGACAGCGTTTCGTGGACCCATCGGGAGCTCCATCGAAGAAGAGATTCAACATTGCGGAATCCACACCTGCATATGGTTGGGTCTATTGCCAGGCTAATTTTCCAAGTTTCCGTTGCGAAACAAACATGATGTGCGCCGCCTGCAATCCCGTCATGGCCACTGGGAGGAGAGGGCGCGAGAGGGAGGGTGGCACAAACGAGGATCGAGGAGGAGCTGGGGGGGAGGAGGAGGGGCAGTAGGATGAGTAAGAAACCCCGTATGGGGCCACGAAACGCTGTCCCCGGTGGGGGACCCGCATGCGAGTGCAGCCACTGGGGCCTTCGGTGGAGCTTCCGATGAGGCCACGAAACGCTGACCTGAGAAGGGGAGCTGCATGCGAGTGCAGCCACCGGGGCCTTCGGTGGAGCTCCCTATGGGGCCGCGTAGCGCTGCCCTGGGTGGGGGGGACCGCATGCGAGTGCAGCCACTGGGGCTTTCGGTGGAGACCCCTACAGAGCCACGGAACGCTTGTCTGAGTGGGGGAACAGCATGCGAGTGCAGCCACTGCGGCTTTCGTCGGAGCTCCCGACGGGGCCACGAAACGCGTGGGGGAACCGCACGCGAGTGCAGCCACCAGGGTCGTCGGTGGAGCTCCCGACGGGGCCACGTAGCGCTGTCCTGGGTGGAGGAACCGCATGCGAGTGCAGCCTCTGGAGCTTTCGGTGGGGCTCCCTACGGGGGGTCACGTAGCGCTGTCCTGAGTGGGAACCCCATGCGATTGCAGCCATTGGGGCTTTCGATGGGAACCTCTTTGGAGACGCGAAACGCAGTCGTGGATGTGGGAACCGCATGCGAGTGCAGCCGATGGGGCTTTCGTTGAGCCCCCATGGGGCCCCGAAGCGTTCTCCTGGGCGCGGGAGGCGCATGGTGGAGGAGGGGGGAGGGAGGAGGGGGACAAGGAGGAAAGGAGGAAGGAACGCGGGGCATTGTCTCCTCAAAACGAGGGCCTAACACCACAGAGTGGTTGGGAGAAACGAACGCGGAAATTCGCATAGCGAGACCCTATGAGGGGCCCCAGTTCGAACACGCCCGCCCACCACTTGCAGCATCAGGGGGGGAGGGGGGCAACACCCCCATCTTCGAACCTGTCCCCCTCGAGGGCAGGGGGGGGCCCCCAGCGCGAGCCGCAGTGGCCACCGGAGCCACAGCCGGTCGCCCCTCCGAGACCCCCGGCGATGGGCGGCGCGCGCCCCCACCTGGTCCTGGCCGCCCGCGCGCGGGGGCGGGGCGGGCTCCTCGCCCTCCGCCCGCGCGGCGTGACGCGGCGCACAGCTCGGCGGCGTGACGCGGCGTGCCCCCTCGCCGTCTCTGGTCTCGAGCCCCCGCTGCGGGCAGCTGGCGCGGCGTGGGATCGCCCGCCGAGAAGAGCAGGGGACGAGGAGGCGGAGGCGGAGGAGGAGGAGGAGGAGGAGGAGGAGGAGGAGGAGGAGGAGGAGGAGGAGGAGGAGGAGGAGGAGGAGGAGGACGAGGAAGAGGAAGAGGAAGAGGAGGGGAGGAGGAGGAGGAGGAGGGAGGAGGAGGAGGAGGAGGAGGAGGAGGAGGAGGAGGAGGAGGGAGGAGGAGGAGGAGGAGGAGGAGATGCAGGAGGGGGCGGAGGAAGGGGATGAGGATGAGGAGGGTGAAGCGGAGGGCTTCGGATCCCCCCGTAGCCAAAAGGACGGCACGTGGGACGAGGGGATGCTGAATGGGCAGCAGCGCGTCGAGCATTTGCAGCCTGCGCTCCAGAAGGCAGACCTCGACGCCTCGGTGACGGCCTCCCTGGGCATCTCGGGCTCCAAGAAGGACACCTATGGCCAACCAAAAACCGAGGGGTGCCCCCCCTCCTCAGTTTCCCCGCCCCCCGTGCCCCCTTTCCTCTCCTCTCCTCTCCTTCCCTCTCCCTCCTTCCGTCCCTCCCTCCCTCTGTCTGCCTGCCCGCCTGTCTGTCCATACTGCCTCCCCTCCCCTCCCCTCCGCGATGCCCATGATCGACGACCAGTCGTCGATCGAATCTCAGGCCGAAGCCACTACTACAGCGGGCTCGTCAGCTGACCGAGGCGATAACACCGTGTCGAGACTCTCGGCGAGATGCGGCTGTTGTAATCGAAGACGCCTACGGCGAATCACCGCCGCCCCCTGCCTTTGTGGAAGCGCCTGCGTGGCCGAAAGTTGGGTTTGAGCTTGGCCAAGCTATCTGTCCACGCGTTCCCCGAGTGGGTTTCGAAAGCCTTCGGGGAACACGGAGTCGGGCGAGCTATCGGACCAGGTGGTTTCCGAGCTTTCGGGCCTTCCTGGAGGACGTCTTGGAGGGCTCTTGGGCCGTCTTGGAGGCCTCTTGTGGGCCTTTTGGGCAGTCTAAGGCTATCTTGAGGCCACCTGGGGCCGTCTTGGGTGCATCTTGGGGCCATCTACGCTGTCTTGGAGGCCTTTTTGGCAGTCTTGGAGGCATCTTGGAGGCCATCTTGGCCGTCTTGGAGGCCATCTTCGTCTTCGAGGCCATCTTGGGCCGTCCTGGGCTCTTCTTGGGGCCCCCTTGGGGGCCCCTTGGGCTGTCATAGCGCCATCTTGGAGGCCTCTTGGGCGCTCTTGGGACGATGTTGGGAGCCTCTTGGGCCGTCTTGGGCCGTCGGAGAGCTGGTAAGAAGAAACTGCCCAAATCCTTCAAACACCTCAGGAACATCGATGATGTTTGCCCTTTCGGGCCTTCCTGGAGGATGTCTTGGAGGCCTCTTGGGGGCCTCTTGGCCAGTCGTAGGCCATCTTGGAGCCATCTTGGGCCGTCTTTGAGGCTTCTTGGACGAACTTAAAGGCATCTTGGACTCTCTCGGGCCGTCTTGGAAGCTATCTTGGACCATCTTTGGCGACTTGGACGCCATCTTGGCCATCTTGGATGCCATCTCGGGCCAACGTGACCATCTTAGAGGCCATCTTGAGCCGTCTTGTAGAATTTGTTGCGGCCGTTGAGGTCCCGTTCGGGTGGCCGGCGGGACGGGCCGAAGCCCCAGGGAGAGTTCTTTCGGGAAAAGAACCAAAGCCAAAAGCGAAAGGACTCAGCACGTCAGGCACCCCTGTGATGAATCAACAGGGGGCGGCGGACTCGAATGGCCTTCGGCCCATCCCGCCACCGTGCCTGGGTTGTGTGTGTGTGTGTGTGTGTCAGATTTGTTAAGCATGCTTGTTTGGGTCTCTTCGGAGCGCTCTCGGGGGCCTCGTGGGTGCAGTTGTGGGACCTCTTTGGAGCCTCTTGGGGGCCTCTTGGGGCCTCTTGGAAGCCTCTCGAAGGCCTGGGGCCTCTCGGGGCCCTCTTGGGGCCTCCTGGGGCCTTCTCTCGGCGCGGAAAGCTCATATTGTCGGTTCGTGGTCCTCCTCTCGGATCCCTCTTGGGACTGTCTTGGGGCCATCTTGGGCCGTCTTGGGCGCCTCTTTGGCCGTCTTTGGGTCCTTCTTGGGCCGTCTTGGGGCCATCTTGGGCCGTCTTGGGCGCTTCTTTGACCGTCTTGAGTCCTTCTTGGGCCGTCTTGGGGCCGTCTTGGCGGCCTTGTGGGCCGTCTTGGGGCAATCTTGGGGACCTCTTGGGCTGTCGTCGAGCGTCGGAAAGCCGAATAGGTGAGAATGCTCACAACCTTCAAAACCAATGGCAACTGAAGGTTCTTGGCCTTTCGGGGCCTTCTTTGGAAGACTCTTGGACGCATCCTGGGGCGTCTTGGAGGCCTCTTGGACTGTCTGGGGGCCATCCTGGCGTCTTGGAACGATCTTAAGGCGTCTCGAAGCCCTCTTGGACCATCTTGGGAGTCTCTTGGGGCTCTCTTGGCCCGTCTTGGGGCCCTCTTAGGCCCGAGAAGCTGCGCGGGGAGATGCGGGAAGCCCCGGACAATCCAAGACCAGCCCAATGAGATTTGTGAATTTGGGTCCAGGCCCCTTCAGAACCCTCAGGATCGAGGATTGAGGTTCGGGGGATGCGGCAATGGACCTGAGGACACGCAGATTCCGTGCCCAGCGGCGCGGTGGTGGATGGGCGCCCACCCCGCCCTGGAGCCTTCGAGGCCTACCATATCGTGGCGGATCATTCCTCCGAGGAGGACCCCCATGGCTCTATTGCCCCCCTTCGGTGCATCAGGAGCTGGTCGCGTCCGCGCAACAAGTGGGCGACCATGTTGCAGAGGGAAGCATTTCGTGTCAATCTGATTTTGACCTTGTGCATGATCAGCGCCGCGTCTGGAAGCGCAGCGTTGTGCATTGCACTACTTGTAGATTTGGGTCTCGAGGTTTTGTGAGGTGCCACTTGTCCGTAATCCTACGGCTCAAGTCACGCTGCTTAGAGGTGCCCGTCCTCGATGCATTCAGGTTTCGCCTGGCTCGCCTCCAGCTCAGTTTCCATTGCTGGCGAGCCCAGCTGCCGCCGCGCCATCGGCTCGGCTGCCTATTCTTGCTTGACGGGCGTGGACCCCGCTCAGTTCTTCACGTCGGCCGCGTTCGGCCTCGGCGTGATCACGGGAGTTGTGAGCGTGTATTTCGTGAAGGTTGTTTCTCGGTGTGCGCGTTGCAGAGTGCGGGTGGCGTCGGGAGAGCATCGATTGGAGGCTCGGCTGGATGGCGGCGATCACTCTCGAGGCAGGGCGGAAGGTCAGTCTGTTCTACCAGCCGGACCCCCTCCCGGCGCCACCACCCAAGTGGAACGAGCGGGTCCTCCTCGAGCCGGCCTCGGAGATGGCGATGCAGAAGTGCACGGGCGAGTCCCTGTACAATGGGGGCATGGTCTGGTGGGTGCTCACCCCGGACGGGGACGTTTACCCGGAGGAGCTGGCGGCGCCTCCGCTGGAGGGTATCGCGTACTACGACGACGCGGAGGTGCCCCATCTTCAGCTGCAAGTACGTCCGCTTCCTCCGCCGGTGGCGGCCAATGCATACAGCTTCCGCGCAGACCGCCCAGCTGGACCTCCTACCCCGCTATTGGTGATGAGGGCGATCTCTGACGCGAGGGTTGAGCAGCATGCGCTCGACTCTGAGTCAGGCGCCGTTCGCGAAGGTCCTCCTCCAGCGCCAGCAGCTGGACGCATCATCTGGGTGATTGGCTCTTCGGCCGACGGCGACCCAGAGGCTGAGAAGGAATACGTTTACATCCCAGGCGACATCACGATCGGTTTGGGCTCCTACTGGTTTGTCAAGCGAGGCGCCAAGTTTCTGATACTGCAGGAGGTGCTGCGGCAGGACACGGGTATGATCAAGTTGCTCCGGGATCAGGAGACCGATGCGAGGGTCATTCCTGTGAAGTGGAGGTCGGCTCAACAGCGCGGCCGCAACTTCCGCGAGGCCATCTCGCTCCAAGAGTTCCACGACTTCGGCGACTCACCGCTGCAGGGCGACGTGAGCCTCCCGTGGTTGCTCACCGAGGTTGCCCAGTCCGCCGAGGGGATGGTGACGCGCCACCACACGTGGCTGTCGGCTAGCGGCATCCCGAGCGGCGACCGCAGCATCCACGAGCACTTCGTGATCTCCAAGGTCTTCGACCTCGCGATCGAGCTGGACCAGTTGAACACGATGACCTTGACCTCTTTCGAGCTGCTCGGGCGACGCCTGCAGCTCATCGAGCAGGCCCACGTGTACAACCCCAGCAACCCCGACTACAGCAACTCGGACGACTTCATGGGCTGGGGCGTGCAGCGTGGTGCCGCTCTGGTGGCGCCTTCTATCAAGAAGCGGGCCGCCGACGCAGCTCGTGATCGGGCAGCAGTTCTGCAGGAGGGGCGGAAGCTCGACGAGGAGATCCGCCTCCGGAAGCCGAAAGGCCGTGGCCGTGGTGGTAAAGGCGGCGGAGAGGGAGACGGGGGCGCCGGCGGTTCCGGCGCAGGGGGGCCATGACCAGCTCCCAGGGCCCAGTCGCTCCCTATGGGACTCCGGCGGCTGGGTTCAAGTACGAGAAGGGGTCCCGTCTACCTTTACAAGTTCCTCGTGATCTCTTTCCTCTTCCTGAGCTCGAGGTCGAACATCTTCAAGATCACAGCGTGAGTCGCTCGGTACAGCGACGAGTTTTGAAGCGGAGTGCAGTGGATGCCGAGGTCAATCGCACGATCAAGGCCCTCAACGCTCTCGATGGCCATTTGACGCCGTCATCTTCCGCGCCCTCGCAGTGTCAGCGGGAGGCCATTCAATTCATTCGCTCAGTGCATGACGCAGCCGAACCGCCGCAAGGTGACTTCGGCTCCGAGGGAGCCGTGCGCGCGCTCCTCGGGACGGACTCCGCGTACGGTGGCGAGTCGACCTTGGTGCAGTCCTACGACCGGAACCTTCTCAGCATCCCCCACGTGGGGGCGGAGCCCGTCCCTGTTCAGGAGATGTTGCCGCCGAAGGTTCGCTGTTGTCTCGAGGACCTGAACAACATTCTGCTCGATGATCAAGAGTGGGGCGCCGTGTGTGAGAAGGCGGATCCCATCAACCTCTACATGGATCCGAAGCTTCGCTACTCCAAGAAGGCCTATTTTCAGTTTGTCCGAGACTGTCATTCGGCAGGTCTTATCCGCTGGGCGCCCTTGGTACGCGGGCGAGTCACTGTCTTCTGTGTTGCCAAGAAGACGGGCAAGCAGAGGCTCGTGGTGGACTGCCGCGCCACCAACAGGCGCTTCCGGCGGTGTCCTTATTTACCTATGGGTACCGGCTCGAGCTGGGGAGAGATTCTCCTGGAGGACGACGCCGACCTCTGGGTGAGCCTGTCGGACATCAAGGACTACTTCTACGCCTGCGGCATCGACGATGACCTCTCCAGCTATTTTTGCCTCGACGACGTCCCAGGTTGGCTCGTCTCCGAGCTGGAGGGCAACGACAGCCGCTTTAGCCATTTCTATGGGCGTGACGCAGTTGCGCCCGCCTTTCGAGTGCTGCCCATGGGCTTCAGCTGGAGCTTCTACCTGGCGCAGATCGTCCACTCCTCCGTCGTCAAGGGGATGCTTCCGGACACCGCCGGACTGGTACTACAGGATCGTCAGCCTGGCCCGACGATGGGGTCCCGCGGCCTCGTGTCGCTGCCGTACTGCGACAACCATGCCACTGGGGCGGGCTCCCCGGAGCTTGCCGACGGCGCTCGGATCGCAGTGGCTCGCCAGCTCACGGCCGACGGCTTCGCCGTCCACGAGGAGGAGGGCGCCTCCCTCTGGGCCGAGAGTCTCGGCTTCGCCATCGACGGCTTGACTGGCGAGGTGGGGCCTACGGCCAAGAGGGCCACCCGCCTTGCCGCCGCGGGCCGCTGGCTTGCGCGTCGCCCGAAGATCACGGGCGTGATGCTTGAGCGCTTCTTGGGGCACTGCACTTTCCAGCTCATGGGCGAGCGCTCCCTGCTGAGCATCTTCGGTTCGTGCTACCGCTTCGTCAGGGTGCATTACAAGCAGAAGGTCCGCTTGTGGCAGTCCGCCGCGCGGGAGTGTGAGTGGCTGTCATCTTTGGTCCGCTTTGCTCGTACCAACCTCCGTCGGCCGTGGAGCTCCACTGCCCACATGTTCGACTCATCGGAGACAGGCCTCGGGATCGTCCAGGGCATTTTCGACGAGAAGCTCATAGCCAGCACTGGCCAGTACAATGAGCGGTGGCGTTTCAAGCAGCCTCATGCGCTCGCGAGGGGCGTGCGTGCGGGGGCTCTCTGGCACTTCCGAGATGTGATCGAAAATGCTGAAACAGTACTCCCTGTCGCACCACCGCCCCCTCGTCCCTGGAAGAGAAGGCGCGGGTTCCCGGAGGTCCCCACAAAGTTGCTCGAGAAGGACTCCTGGCACACCATCCTGTCAAAGCCCTGGTTTCGGGACGAGCACATCGCCCTGCTGGAGGCCCGCACTGGAAGATTGGTATGCAAGTCTCTTGGGAGGTCTGTTGGAAACCGCAACAAGAAGCACCTCATCCTCGGGGACTCCATGGGCTCCATCTTGGCCTTCCTCAAGGGGCGCAGTGGGGACTATCGTATGCTGGGTTGTTGTAGAAGTGTTGCGGCTTGCACGGTCGCCCTCAATTGCAAGTTCAAATGGCGCTGGGTCGTATCTGAAGTTAATCATGCTGATGCGCCTTCTCGGATGTTCGAACCCTCAGCCCCGAAGCGGGCACGCCACGGACGTAAATCTTTCCCTTCATCCTCTTCTACCTGTAACCACTTGGCTCACAGTGGGGAGTTTCCCACGATCGATGCTCCGAGCACCGACTCGGACGCCAGTTTCAACGAAGGCGGCGTCGGCTCATGTACTGAGGCCTGCGGGGCCCGCGGCCAACCGCAAGCGGCCCCCTGCGCCACCGGAGGGCGTGCTGTCCGTCGTTACAGCATCGACGAGCTCATCGAGATCGGCCGCGCCTCCGGTGGCAAGCCTGCTTCAGCCGCCGAAGGACCACCCATCGGCGCAGCGGAGTCGCCGCCTTCGCGAGGACCGTGCCAAGGCCCGAAGGGCGAGGCACGCAGTCCCAGCGGGGGGTGTTACCCCCGGGCCGCTCCTGCTCAAGAGAGACCCGCACCAGCTCAGTATCCTGGAGCAGGCGTCGGTGCAGCCCCAGCAGGCGGCCACGTACAGGACGACCTACGCCGAGTTCGTCAAGTGGGCCGCGAACGAAGGCATCCCACTACACTCGGACGAGGACGTGGACGCGGCGGCGGTCGACTACCTGGACGCGATCTACCTGCAGGGCTACGAGGCGTCATCGGGGGACAAGCTCCTCGGGGCCCTCAAGTTCATGAGGAGTGGCGGCCCTCGCCCTCTTGCCCTGCCGCTGACGCGGATGAGGAGGGCGCTGAGGGGCTTCCGCAAGTCCGCCCCCGGCGCCTCTCGCTTTGGGTTGCCTTGGGAATGGGCGGCCTCCATAGCGGGGACCTTGCTGGCCACGAAGCGGCGGGGTGCGGCCCTCTGCTTGCTGGCGGCCCACGATGCGTATTCCCGACCTGGGGAAATTACGGACCTGCAGGTTGGGGACGTAGTGCTGCCTGCGCCCCGCCTCCGCGGCTACCACCGCCTCTGCCTTGTCATGCGGCCGGAGGAGAGGGGAGCTTCGACGACACTGTCACAATCGAGGACCTGGACGCGCACATCTCGACCCACCTGGTGCAGCTGGCGAAGGGGCGGGATCCGAGCGAGAAGCTGTTCCGCCTGTCGATCAGCCAGTACAAGGACGCGTTCGAGGACGCCGCCGACCTCGTCGGGCTCGCCGCCGAGCAGCTCTGCACGTACCAAGCCAGGCACGGAGGTGCCTCGAGGGATGCCATGCTGAAGAGGCGCGACCTCTCCGAGATCCAGAAGCGCGGGGGCTGGAAGACGTTCAACTCCGTCAGACGCTACGAAAAGTTTGGGAAGGTGCAGCAGGCGATCAACCGCACGCCGTCGGACACCCTGGCCTACAGCCGGATCGCCGTGCAGTACCTCGACGAGTGGCTCCATGGACGTTCTATGCATCTCAACCGACCTCCTCGGACAAAAGGCCGCCGCCTAGTCGGAAAGCGGCGGAGGTCTTCGCAGGTTCCGGGAGGCTAGCCAAGGCGCTCGCACGTCGTGGAATTCCTTGTGAAGGTTGGGACATACTGGATGGACCGTCGTGTGACCTCACACTCTCAGGCGCACAGAAACGACTGATGAGAGGCATTCGCCAGCATAGTTATTGCCATCTTCACTTTGCGCTGCCCTGTCAGACCCTCTCGCGTGCACGGCGTCCCGGAGGCTCTGGACCTCCGCCTCTCAGGTCAAACGAGTTTCCCTGGGGTTACCCGGACCTGGAGGGCTCGGGCCTCAGCAAAGCAGCTGCCGCAAATAATCTCATTGCGTTTGTAATCAAAGCCTGTCGGCTAGCTGCGAAAAAAGGTATCACAGTTACGATCGAGAATCCTCTCACGTCAATTTTGTGGGTAATTCCCGAAATAATACAGTTGCTTACAGAACTGCACTTTTCCACCGCTCGACTTGACTTCTGTATGTTCGGGGAACGCTGGCGAAAAGCCACAAACATTGTTGGCGCTGTCCCTGGCCTCAGCTCGCTGACGAGAAAATGTACCACGTCGCTTTGTACTAGAACTAAGTTGCCCCACTGGGCGTTAGAGGGCAAAGACCCCACATGAGTTTTTTGGACAAAGCGCGCAGAACCCTACCCGCCCGCCCTCTGCTCACTTCTTGCCAAGACAATTGCCAGAGCACAAGAGGTGGGATAGGGCAGTTGTGTGCTCACTCTCGCTGCAGCAGGCTGACCAGACTCGTGGCAGCCCAGTGTATTTCAGTTGGTCAGGTATCCCTTTCTAAGCTCTGGCACCGGTGAAAAAACGTCATCGACCTTGCACTACTTGTAGATTTGGGTCTCGAGGTTTTGTGAGGTGCCACTTGTCCGTAATCCTACGGCTCAAGTCACGCTGCTTCCTCCTCCTCCCCTCCGCCTCCTCTTCACCTTTTTCAAAGGGCAGTTGCACTGTGCTCACTCTCGCTGCAGCAGGCTGACCAGACTCGTGGCAGCCCAGTGTATTTCAGTTGGTCAGGTATCCCTTTCTAAGCTCTGGCACCGGTGAAAAAACGTCATCGACCGTACTCTCAGCGTCCACGCGCCTTTGGCCTATGACTTGTGCGTGCGTGTGTGCGTCTGTGTGTGTGTGTGTGTGAGCGTGAAGTGTGCGTGTGTGTGTGTGTGTGGCCTCGACGGTCTTTCGGTCAGTCAAGGCTTCCGAGCGCAGCGCCTTCGACAACATGGTCCTCGAGCAGGTCGCCACCAGCCTGCATGAAAAGGCCACTCGAGAGGGGATCAACACACACATTTGTCAGTGTTGAGCTCGAATTTTAGATCGACACGCGTTTTGTTCAACTGGTTTGTTTGTTGGTTGGTTGGTTGGTTGGTTGGTTGGTTGGTTGGTTAATTGGTTTTTGGGTTGGTCTGTCGGTCGGTTGGCTGGTTGTCCGACAGGTTGGTTGGTCGGCTAGTAGGTTGGTCGGTCCGTTGACTGGTCGGTTGGCTGGTCGGTTGGTTAGGTGGCCGCGTGGTTAATTGGCTCGTAGGGTGGCCAGGATTAGTTTGCTGACAGGTCGGTAGACGGATGATTGTCAGCAACATGGTAATTGTTATGAGACCGAGAGCGACGAGGGCACCCGTGATTGTCACAATGTTCTGTCGTGCAATGTAGATCATTTCGGTGAGGGCAAACATGTACTTCATCGAGGTGATGGAGCATATCAGCAGGAGGATGATGAGGACGATAACGAGGATGAAGATGAGGAGCAGCACCGGATGGATGAGGAAGAGGAGAGCGACGAGGAGGCGGCGCGGGAAGGAGGAGCGAAACGATAAAGAAAAAGAAGGACTGGCGAAGGAAGCGGGGGATGTCAGGAGGGGCTCAATAAAAGGGGGAAGCAGGCCGCATCCTCGACCCCCCCTGGCTCTGGCTCCTGCTCACCATTCCAACCATTCTGCTCCTCCTCGTCCTCCTCCTCCTTCTCGCTCCTCCTCGCTGCTGCTCTGCCACCGCTCCCTCCTCCTGCCCCCTCCTCGGTCCTTCCTTCTCCTCCTCGATCCTTCCACCTCCCCTCTCCTTGAGGTATGGCGACGGGCCTCCCCGCCCCGCAGGACCACCGCGCACCACCACCGCCGCTGCCACCAACCAACACCGCCAACGGCCGCCACCGAGCGGAGCCGCCCGCAGCTTCTACGACCATCGCCGTCACCAGCCACCAGCAACGCAGCCACCAGTGCCACCACAATCACCCACCACTTTTAAGTCGGCGGCGCAGCAGATGGAAGTGCCAATTGCGATCGAGCATTGTCGACGGCAGAGTGTACGAGCCGTCGCACACTGGACAGTGCAAACGAAGGGTGGTGTGCTAGAGGGACCCTAATCTCAAACGTTGACATGCAGTGGCCAGAAAACTAAGGAGGAGACTAAACTCAAAGTGAACTACGGTCACCCACCACAGGCCACCACCATCACCCCGCAATCCCTACGGCAACCAGGCACCCGCGGGCGGGTCGCGTGGGCAGACCCCGGCGGTCGCAGGCGGCCAGACTTGGGCGGGCGGGTCGGGCGGGACGTGAAAGCAACGTGGCGAACGGGTTTTCAAGCAAGCGAGCAGGCGGGCTCAAGGCGGCGCACCCTGATGGGCTCGTCGAGCAGGCGGCCTTTTTTGGGAGGGGTGCCCCCCCAGGACCCTCTAGGACAACGCTTAATGGGAACACCTTCAGAAGGCAGGGGATAAAACCATTAAACCAACAGCTCCACTGCTGCCCTCCGCTGTCCGCAATACATCGGCCCCACGAGTCCCCGACGCTACGTCCCAGCCATTGCTGCCCAGCCCCCCCACACTATTCGCAAATACCCTTTCCTGTGCACGATCACTTCAGCGGGAGGTTGGGCTTTCAAGTAAGCGAGCGGGCTGATCCCTTCGGGCGGGTTGGGCGGGCGAGTCCTTTCGGGCGGGTCGTGCGGGAGGACCCCTTCGGGCAGGTCGGGCGGGCGGAATTTTGAAACGGCAAGCGAGCTGGCGGACCTGAGCGGTCGGGTCGTGTGAAGCGGGTGGTGGTGTATTCAAGCAAGCGAGAAGGTGGGCCCTATCG